CATCGCATTGAGGTAATCTGTATTTTATTTCAGCAAAACAAATTTTTTTTTATTTTATTTTATTTCTATAACTTCCATTTGTGTTTTTTGTTTTTTTTGTCAGTTATGTCTACAAGAAAATTTGAATCTGGGCACATAAAAAAGGAGAAAAAAAGATGAGAAGAAGAATTGATTCAATCTTAAAAAGGCGTTATTCATAAGTTTTTTAGGAACAATACACAAATAGAGAGTTTAGTTAAAGATTTGGTGAATGGAGAACATAGGAATGAAGAAAATCTTAATGAACATGGAGATTTAATGAATGAAAATAGGAAAGAGAATCAAAATGAAGAAAATGTGTGACGACGGCCGTTCCAATACGCCAAACTAAATGTAGTGAATGTGTGGTTCAAGAAAAGCCTTTTATGTCAAATTTAAATTTATAAAAACCACTACCAACACCACTACTAACGTAGCAAGAGTGAGTAGGGATCGTCCCAAGGGATTATACGTGTTGGAATTTCAACTTCGACTCTAGCGTACCAAATGATTGCAAAAGAGAGTTGGGTTAGTTGATTACTTCTAGAAAAGAATTAATTAAAATGCAATAAAAATAAAACTAAGTAGAGATAGGGATTTAAGAGATGAGAATAGACGACTTAGGGTGTTGAAATCACCACTAAACTCATGTAATTAACCACTTGCTTTTCGTTAATGGGGAATACATTGTTGTGAACAAAATTGGTTCGACTAGCAAAGGTGACTCAACAAGTGTATAATGTCTAAACAACATGTGAAAGGCTACAATATATCTATTGGAAGAGGAATATATTGTCTAGACAACATGTGAAGAGAACAAAATATCAAATCAAGTCATTAAACCTTTCATTAAGCTCATAGTCCAAATAATTCACAAGGATGACTTAGTTAAACATGTATTGTCTAAACATCATGTGAGAGGCCACAATATATCTATTAGGAGAGGAATATATTGTCTAAACACATGTGAAAGATACAATATATCATAACAGGTCATTAATCCTTCATTAAGCTCAAAATTCCATTACACCACAATATTAGAGCATATGCTTCTTGCATTCAAAAGCATGGAACATCAAAGAACAAACATGAATTGTCTCCCCCATCTAACACTACACTACAACTACACTACTAGCATGAAAATAAACTAAGGGAGAGGTACAATCCATCAAGGAATAAGTATGAACCATCAAGAGACATAACAAGAGCATTCCATTAAGCACTAATGTCTAGCCATCACTAGATTTTCAATCAATCATACATAGACATGTAATTAATATAGAAAAACTAGTGTAGAGATCAATACCCCAAATAATCACACATAAGACAACATGTAATTAAAATAGAGAATCAATGGAAGAATTAACCCATATGAATCATGTGAGACATAATTCCTAATTTAATCACACATAGACATGTAAATAAACTAGAGAATTAATAGGAAGAATTAGACCATGGAAATCATAGAAATATACCAAGATTCATGACATTCACAAGGTTAGAACACTAATCACAACAATACATATAAAAATCCCCAAAAATAGAAATACAAGGGTTTAGATTACACAAGACTTAGGGCTCATCCAAGCCCTAAGTGTAGATCTAGTCAATCATGGAGGAGGTGGATGTAGTCATGGAATCAAGCTCCAAACATGGCTCCATCTTCTTCTTCCTCTTCTTCTTCTTTGAAGCTCTAGAGATGGAGAGATAGTAGATTTAGAGATGTGTTCTTGAGATGTGCCTCCACTTCTCTCTTTTCTTCTAACCTTAATCTCTAACTTTTCTAGAGAGAGAAATAAAAATTACAATGTAGAAAATAAAATGATAAAAGCTAAAAATCCCCTTTTTTACAAATGGGTTACTTCCCTTTATATAGAAGGTCCTTTTCTTAGTCACTAAGTTTAGAATCTATGCCTAAAAATATCTAATCCAGCAACTTTTTGGTAGGTGAACTTTTGGGCGCGCACGGAAAAAGTGACAGCTTGCTGCCAGCATGTCCAGTTCGATCGATCCAACTTATTTTCGATCGATCCAACTTTTCAGCTTTTCAGTATCAGCTTCTTTTTGCTCCAAATCAGCCTCTTTTTGCTCCGGATCATCGCTAAGACTTAGTTTGACTCCAAAAAGGCCTTAAGAACTCATTTTTAGCCCATTTAAACATTATTGACCTGAAATAGATAAAAACAAAAATAAGTACTAAAACGGATAAATAAGATAGATAAAGGTCCTAGAATACTCAAGCTTAAGGGGTTTAAATGTGTACTTTTCAGCGCTCATCAATGTGAATGAACTTGAAGATTTGGTAATGAAGAACATGTGAATGAGAATGATAATCTTCCCTTGAACATTAATGATCCAACAAATTGGAGAAAGATTGATAAAAAATTGAGAGATTTATTAATTGAAAGAGGTCCTCCAAGAGATGATAAACTTGAAACTTTTCAAAGTTGAAGTTAATCAAATCTTACTTGCGGTGTCCGATGACACAAGAGAGATTGAATGGATTGGCTATCTTATCTATTGAAAAAGATATATTGGAGAAACTTGATTGGAGTACTTTAATTGATAATTTTGCAACTCAAAATGTAAGACGATCATATTTACTTTAATGAAAATTTTGCACTTTTATAATTTTTTTTTTGTGCGCGTGTGAAATATTATGTATAAAGGGCTTCACATTTAAAGTTCATCTACGGCCTCTCAAGATTTTTTCAATCTCAGGGCCGGCCCTGCCTAAGGCGTCTAATCCCTTCCTGAGCCCATAACTCTGTTATGCGTAATGTGTGAGAAATGCTTTGGCATTCAATACATTCGGTGCTAGGGCGGCGGTAGTTGAAATATATTAATGATTCTTTTAGAGTCATTAATGCGATGGTAGAGTCTCTTGTCTTGTCTGACCCACGTGATTCACGTTCCTTTTGACTAGGCCCATACGTTTAGTTTTCTGGGCTTACTCTAAATTCTTATCCTCCAATTCAAAATCTTTCTAAGGGTCTAGTAGTCGTAAGATAGTCCTACCTTTTATCTCATTTTGTCATAACATTTCGGTGCTTAGTTATAGTTTGATTTTTGTATTGTTTTTGATAATCGAAGTTGTGTTTTTGCGATTTGGAGACCCATTAATTTTCTACTGGGCGTTGTCTTGGTCAAGGTTGTGACCTTGAGGCTTGGTGCTCGAAGTTATGTTTTCGAGGCGCAGTGACCCAACAGTTTTTACTGGGGTTTCATCTTGCTCGAGGTTGTGATCTCGAGGCTTGGTGCTTGAATCTGTGTTCTTGAGGCTTACTAGAGTTTGCTCTAGACTGTGCTTTCGAGGCTTATTGCTCAGAGTTGTGCTCTCAAGGCTTGGTGACCCAGTAAGCTTTTACTGGGGATTTTGACTTGCTCGAGATTGTAATATCGAGGCTTTTTGACCCAGTAAGTTTTTAATAGGGTTTTTTTTATCTGCTTGAGATTGTCAAATAGAGGCTTTTGTGTACGTTAGAGTGAGGCACGTGGGTGGTGCATGGGTGGTGCTTTCGTTCTTTCTTTCTTTCTTTTTGTCTATTAGTGTTTTGTTAGTATCTCTTGACTTTTTAACGCTCCGTATCAGAGTTTGTTTGACTTTTCAACGTGGCATGTGATGACTATTTTGGATGACATTACTTGAGGTTTACGGAATTTATTTATCTTTTGTTTCCATTGTTTTGTTCAAAGTCAATTTTTTGCCAATTGACCCGATGATGGAATTTTAAGTTAATTTTATTGGGAGGATAGTTCCTTCGTTGCCAATCAAGTATTCTCCGCGTTTTATTTTATTTTATTTTTTCTTGAGCCACTAACTTCATATCCAATTTTTAATTTGTTTATGTTTCACATAACAATAATTAATTTGGAAATCTTTTGAATATTTAGTATATGCCTTTGTGACACGCACTGCCATACATTTTCTTCCTCAACTAAAATATATCCGTTTTGAACTATATACGGTGTTTCTTCAAATTTCACATGTTCTAAATCAATATTTTGTTCTTGTTTTTAGATTTGATCCTTTCTCAATTGATTCTTCTGCGCAATTCAAAGTCCACTTTCATCATAGAAGACACAATTTTCAGTAGTATTAAAAGGTTCACCGTCGATCTTCTTAGTAAACTACTTTGAAATTGGAATAAACGAATGTTTGAACGTATCAAGTTGACAATTCTTGGACTCTTGTAAATATTTCCCTCAACATGATATCAGAGATGTAAATTGGTTGATAATGATAAATGATAATTAGTTCAAAATGCATACTGTGAGTTAATAAATATTGTAGTGACATAACCTGATGTCATAAAGCCAAATCATAGATAGGTTTTGAGTTTGTGCCATAAGTAGTTATGCACTGGACATATTTCTAGTGAGATGCATTGCAACATTTTTATGAGTAAAGTTGCAACCAATAAATTTTTTCTATAAAATTTAGGGCATAACATTTTGTTTTTTATTTGGAAATTTGAGGAAGATTTTAAATTATAAAACCACGAGGTGGTAAAATAATTCATACTTGAGAAATAACCTAAAACTACCAAAAATGACGTGATTCAACTAACACAAGTAATAATAATTTGATCTATTTTCAGATTTTTCTGATTTTAGTTGTTGTAGAAGATAAGAAAGAAAGTCATTAACCAAAAATCGTTATGTAGATATACCATGAAATCATGCATGCAGCACACAAGCTAGCTAAAAAAAAAAACAGGGTATTACAAAGCTGAAGTAATACATGACCACAAAATCTCAAGGACACTCAAGCCAACTATCTGACAGACAAAATCATATATATATATATATATATATATATATATACATATATATATATATATATTTATTTATTTATTTATTTATTTATTTTTATTTATAATTTTTTCTATCCAAATGACCCGACATATATGTGCTTCCACCGGTGACAGAGCATACTTACTTTGAGAAATAGTTCAGATATCATAAAGCTACAAATAGTTCCAATAGTTCCGATATCATGAAGCTACGAATAGTTCCATCTCTCAAATCAATGCAATCTGTTGGTAACAAAATCACGCTATCAGCACATGACATAAAATATACATACATACATATATATATATATATATAGGCATTCTTCCACATAAGTAACATAAAACAGATACCTTCATATTTCTTGCCTTTCTCAACTTGCAAGAAACTTATGTTTGATCTTCTTTAGTGTAGCCAGAGCTTCTTGCATGTTCATCCTCTCTTGTGGTGATTCTGCACGGCAATTCAGAGCCAATTGCATGATGGGTGATACACACCGCACCTTTGCACTGGCTTGTCCTTCCTCTGGTGTGATCAAGTTGGCATCTATAACCTGAGTTATCACATTAGGTAGTGACTTGCTCACCCATAGCTTCAAGTTCAAATATCCGGCAAACATATCATCAGTGGGCTTAGTTCTTGTGAATGTTTCCATTAACATAATTCCATAACTGTAAACATCGCATTTTGTGGATATTAATCCTTCCAATCCGTACTCTACATCCAACATGAAAATTAATCAAGAGAATTAACATGTACGAGGAACGTGAAACTGCAGTTAAAAATTTTGTTACTATAAAATTTGAATGCTAGTTAAAGTTAAAAAACTTCACCTGATGCAATATATCCCAATGTAGCTAGAGTCTTTGTGTGCACAATACTATCCCCCTCACCCAAGAACTTTAAAATGCCAAAATCACATACATGTGCAACCATATCTTCATCAAGCAGGACATTGTTGGGCTTCAAATCACAATGAACTAATGGTATTGAATAACCGTAGTGGAGATATTCCAATGCACATACCACATCTATCATTATGTTTAATCTCTGCAAGATATCTAAAAAGTACCTTTGAGAATACAACCACTTTTCGAGACTCCCGTTAGGCATGTATTGGAGTACCAAGGCTTTGAAATCTAAGTTAGAGCAACTGCTAATAACTTTAGTGAGATTTCTATGACGAATATTGCGCAACATTTCACATTCCGTATCAAAACTCCTGGGTGCACCTTCTAGTTGCAAATTGAACACCTTGATCACCAATATAGCCCCATCCGCAAATGTTGCTATGTAAACAGAACCAAAACTTCCCGTTCCAAGCAAGTTGCTATCACTGAAACCATCTGTAACACGCAAAAGTTCTTGATATGTAATTCTTCATTTTGCAGACCGGGGGTAACAAGTCTGTTTGAGTTGGAGTTCTGTTTCTTTTTCGGCATCTTATAAGTACAAAGGAGAAGATCAAAGTAATCAAAGCAATTGGCAACAAAATGTATATAACTAGAAGCACTCGTTTTGTCCTTGTTCTCTGAAGAGAGCTTGAAAGGCATGGTGGGACTTGAAACTTTGGGACACTACATAGTGCTTCATTCGACGTGAATGATTGACTTGTGAAGTTTAAAAATGGTCCTGTGGTGGGAATTTCTCCTCTTAGCCTATTGAAAGATGCATTGAAATACTTAAGAAACAAGAGTGACTCCATTGACTTTGGAATTTCACCTAAGAGATTGTTGTAAGATAGATCCAAGTTTTCCAAGCTTATCAAATTGCCAAAGGACATAGGAATAGGTCCTTGCAATCCATTATGTGCCAAAGAAAGATTGATTAAGGTTTGTAGACCTCCAATTGTGCTAGGGATATCACCCGAAAAGCTATTCAATGATAGACCTATTTGTATTGCGGCCTTTAAAGTTCCAATATCCGAGGGAATTGAGCCATTTAAAGAATTTGAGGACAAGTTCAAATAGAAATTATCTTCAAGGCTGAACAGATTTGCATGTATTTTTGAGGTTAATCTGTTGGAATCCAGAAAAAGTTCTCTTAGAGATGTAACATTCCCTAGACAAGCTGGAATTGGACCAAAAAGGTCATTTTCACCCAGATCTAATGATCCCAAGTTGTGTAAAAGGCAGCGATCATTTGGAATGGACCCTTGTATCCTGTTAAATCCAAGATCTAAAACTTGAAGCCTTGATAACTTATTCATTGTGGTTGGAATAAATCCAATGAAGCCATTACCATGTAGATGGAGGAAAGCCAAATTGCTCAAGTTACCAATGTGGTTGGGAATTCTGCCCTTAATTTCACAATAACTCGCATAGATACTTTGAAGCGAAGTGGAGAGATTCCAAATGGAAACCGGAAGGATGCCATTAAGAGGATTTCCTGCTATCTTCAAATATTTTAAACATCGGCAATTCGTCAAGGCAGTAATAAGGCTCAATTCTGGGTTTGGAGATTCGCTGATTAAATTGTTTCCTGAGAGGCCTAGATATTCGAGGAATTCCAAGTTACCGAGTGAGTGGGAAGCGAATGGGTGAAATTGTTATTGGAAAGATTCGGAGTCTGGACATATTTGAGATAGAGTGAGGGATAATTCCGTTGAGGTTATTTAGATCAAGGTATAATTTTTCAAGATTCGGTAACCTAATACTTGACGGAAGTTTGCCTGAAAGATGGTTTTTCACAAATGAAATGATCCCTAGTTTTGACATGTTGAAAATTATTTCTGAAATCGGTCCTTTGAAGTTATTCCAACTTAAATATAAAGACTCCAGATTGCAAAGTTTTCCAATTTCTTGTGGTATTGCACCTGCAAAAATTAAAATTAACATTTTGGTCGTACATGTCCATTCTTTTCAATCTGACTACATCGTTTTATGTCATGCTTCAGATGCTTTTATACACTAAATCAAAACTGAATCAGAAATGCCCTATGGGAGAGTGAGTGCACATAAGTTCTAAATTAATCTATCTAGTTCGGTAACTACGTTGCAAATAATTTATTAAAAAAAAAAAATTCTGGGGACAATTAGCAAAATAAATAATTTTTTTTTTTAAGTATAAAGAACAAATTTTGCTGGCAAATTATTTCTTAATTAGATTTTAAAGCATTTGAATATATCCTCATACAATCATACATTTATTCCTCTAAGTAATCAATATACAACATATATACATTGTTATAAGATAAAGTCATTGCATATATATGCAAGCACACATGGCCGGATAAAGTAAAGAAGAACAGAAGCAGAATCTATCATACCTTTTAAGTTGTTTTGGTGAAGATTTAAATCTTTCAGGAACGTTAAGTTCCCAATCTCTCTTGGTATTTCTCCATTGAATTTGTTATTTGACAATGACAAGGTTTGAAGTTCCGAACATTCACGTAAAGGAATTTGGCCATCGAGCTGGTTAGAGAACAAACCAAGCCAGTAGAGTTTTGGACGAGTGTAGCACATATCCGTTGGAAGATTACCGGACAGGTTATTATTGTTGAAATCAATTACTTGCAGTGAGGAGATGTTGAAGAAGGAGGTGGGTATGGAGCCTGAAAGCTGGTTATCCCCCATGGCCAAATTCTTCAGATTAGCGAGTTTGCCAATTTCTTTAGGAATGTTTCCTGTAATGTACATAGTTGAGAGTGAAAATCACAAATTACCTCTCTTAATTAGGGATATCATAATAGAACTAATGTTGATGGATAGGCTATGTCTTTATTCATCCTAGTAATTAATTAATATACGTGATTAACAGAGCACAAATTCCAAAATTAACAAAATTTTGTCACTTTATAAGATAAAGTCCTTGCATATATATATGCAAGCACACATGGATATAGCAAGGGAAAACAAAAGCAGAAACGACTATCATACCTTTCAAGTTGTTTGCTCTAAGATATAACTTTTCTAGGATGGTTAAGTTGCCAATCTCTCTTGGTATTGCTCCACTAAATTTGTTAAATGCCAATGACAATATTTGAAGTTCCGAGCATTCATGTAAAGTGGAAGGAATTTGGCCATCGAACTGGTTATAGTGCAGACTAAGCCTGTAGAGTTTTGGAAGATTGTGGCACATATCCATTGGAAGATTACCCGACAGGTTATTACTGTCTAAACGAATAATTTCCAGTGAGGAGATGTTAAAGATGGTGGCAAGTATGGAGCCTGTCAAAAGCAGGTTCTGTCCCATGTCCAAATATTTCAGTCTACTCAAATGACTTATCTCTTTAGGGATATCACCATAGAAACTATTGTTTCTAATGTCGAGTAAGGTTAGAAAGGAGAGGTTTCCTATGTGTGGAGGGATGGTGCCTGTTAGGCCCATGTAAGAAAGGTTCAAGGCTGCAACTCTGCGGTGGCGAGTGCTGCAACGGACACCAATCCAGTTGCAAGGGGAGGAGGTTGATGAGGTGGTCCAGTTTTTAGTCAAAATGTTGTGAGGGTGGTGTCTAGTGATATGGGATTCGAGGGCAAGAAGAGCTGATTCATCAGTGGTGATGTTTGGTGCACTAGTACTAACAGCCATGAGAGAGTCGTAGTGCACCAACATTAATATAACTGTAACACAAACAAGTGAGTGAGTTTTCTCCATCACGTACCAAGATGATACAGGTCGAGGTGAATCAGAAGAGGAAGGCCAAGTGTGGAATTAATACAGTAGTACATGAAATGAATTTAGTCTTAATAATTATGATGAAGATATATGTGGCCTTGACTTCGAGTCTTTACATGTGTTTCCACAATCGAAAGCTATACATGTGTTTCACGGAAATCAAATGCAGACCTTGACCATGTCAAAGTCTTCTGACATGTAGTCTTCCTCCAGAAAATGACTCCATCCGTCATTCTCCTACTGGTATCTATTTCTCCGTACAATTAACATGTGAGTTTTGTTTTCTGTGTCATGATTTCACCTTCTTTCTCTTTCAATTTGTATCAGGTAGGTACTCACCCTTTCTTTATAATGAATGTCTCAACTCAATAATCCATGCACACACTAATGGTAAAAACTTTGGCAATAATTAATTTGGAAAATCAATCGTTTGTGCTTATTTAATAAATTGTTCATCCCAAAAATAACTGCCTTATCTTCTAATTATGTTATCAATTACCAACTAACACTACAAAGAAAAATTAATATTTCCAAGGTGTTAAGGTAATACAGGATTAAAAAATCCTAAGGCTCCGTTTGGTTATATGGAAATAAAAAGAAAGAAAAAGAAATGAAAAATGAAAAGAAAAGTGAAGTGAAAGGAAAAAAAAATTTTGATTTTCTAGTATGTATTTGGTTAGGATGAAAATTACTTCAAAAAAATTGTTGGAAAATATCATATTATTCTCTGGATATCTAAATTACTCTTATTTTATAAAATAATAAAGAATTAGTAATAAAATATATTTAAAAAATGATAAAGTTTTCAATTACCTTTTGAAGTACTATTATTCATATATTATGAAAAACAAGCTAAGAATGGAAGTCAAATTAATTAAAAATTTATCAATGATAAAGTTGTTACTTGTTAGTAAACTCAAATTCTTTGAAACCTAGTAAAATATAAAATGAAGTTGTTGGGTAAAATAATATTAATGAAGTTGTTAGGTAAAATAGGACCACTAAATAAAAAGACACTCTTTCATAGGAAAATAAAATTTCCCCATGTTTTGTGAAGGAAATATTTTGGAGAAAATATTTCTAGAACTTTTCCTTTTCTATCTAACCATAAAAAAGTTTTAAAATTTTCTATTTCCTTTCTTTTCCAGTTGATTCTATCTAACCAAACGAAGCCTAATAAATAATCACTAAACAGGTGATAAATATCTTTTTCGCATGTTGTAACAAGCTTTTACCATGTTTTTTACGGTATGTTAAAAGGAAAAAAAAAAAAAAGAAAAAAAAAAGAAAAGAAAAGAAATATCACATGATGTGATATTCACATCCCAACCTAGACATACATAATCACAATCACAAACACATACACACACACACATACACAATGAGGTAAACATTCATTTTTACCTAGTATAATTCACAACATAAGAATAATATCAATTAGGAAATATAAAAATAACTCTTCCAAATTCAAAAAAAAATAAAAATTCAAAATCAAAATCAAAGAATTTGTATGCAGCAAATGCTAGTATATGACTATATGGATACCAACTTTTTTATATTTTTATTTTTTATTTTGTTTCCCAAGTTGTTATGAAGTTCACTTAGAAAAAGAAAAAGAAAAAAAAAAAACAAATTCAAAGTTAAAAAATTAACCACTAACCTTCCAATTGTATATTATGTCTATGGGTAAAGTACATAAAACCCCCCTAAACAATTAGCCAATTGCATGACACCCCCCTGAAATAAGAATTACCCCCTAAACTATCAAAATAGTGCACTTTAAGGACAAATTCAAAAATTGCTCTCATTAGAGACCACTGAAAATGTTTGATTACGAAATTACCCTTTAATGAAACCCTGTCATTTTATTGTTTTAGTTTTGATATTACTGACGTGGCAAATGCAATCTAAACAGCCAATAGTATTGTGACAGCACATCACCTTATCACAATAACCCACTTAACACTTGAAGAAAAAAAAAATTAGAGACCCAATTAGATTACACTAGTACATATTTTAGCGCTAAACACGGCCTTATGCATAACTCACTATCCCTCTATGCTCTCTTACGAGCTTGGTCTCCTGCAACCACAGATATTGCCGACCAATCACCTCCGACAGCCATCTTCACCGACTAGCTAGCCTTCAAGGAAGTTCACAATCTGTATGATGATCACCATAAAAGTTTATTGCCTGTGTCTGTTTGTGGTTCACCAGAATGAGATTTCACTGGTTCGGTCACTACGATTGCGTCATTGCTTATAGCTTCTCGTCGGCGATCATGGAGCTTAAGGTCGACCTCTCACTGGGTTTGATGCGATTTCCCGTTGATGCTTAGAGCTTCTCGCCTGCAGTTATGGAGTTTGACGTTGGGATCTCACCTATTTCGTTGCGATTGCGTCGTTGATGCATAGAGCTTCTTGTCGGCGGTCATGAAGTCTGAGGTTAGGCTCTCCTGGTACACTTTTGATTGGAGTGTCCAAGTCGTTTCCTATTGCAAATGGGTATGAATTAAAGATTAGAATCTAATGAGTGTGATACGAGTCACCACCTACTTGTTTAGTTTTTTAGCTAAACCTCTATTTTTGGTAATACAAAGATAAACAGTAGAGATTGTGTCAAAATATATCACAGGAATTTGGACTTCTTTGTCAGAATCAAGAGCGAAATCAAAGATGCCATTGTTTATGATGCACGTGACTAGTCCTTTGGCATCAGAATTGAAGTTATCGAAGATTAGCATCACTCAGAAAAAGGGTTTTAATTCAATCAAATGACAGCAAATTGTGCCTATTGCTTGTTCTTCTGATGACTATTATAGATGATTTATACCATTCATGTTGGGAAACGTGCTAGTTTTAAAAACTTTTTGAAGGATTTTCATTCACAGATCTTGATTCATCAAATAGAAACAAGTTTTATGCAAAAATAAAATATGATGTATCATTCAATTAACAGATTGAATACTTACATCAAAGGTCTGAGTAAACCTTTAAATCTTTCCTCTAAAGTGAATGTTCTCACTTATTGTAGATCCCTTAGCAAGATGCCTTCTCCTTAGATCTCCATCTTCTTGGTAATTGTTTTGCCTTTAGGAATCACTCATAAGCCTCCATGAATGACCTTGGAAAACTAGGCTTGTGGGAGTCTCCATTAAATGAGAACATTAACCCTAATTTTCTAGAGAGAGAAAATATATTTTTTTTTTTTCTTCCAAAAATCACACCTAAAATATACATAGACCATGTATATATATAGACAACATAAAGATAAAGAAAAAAAAAATAATAAATCATTCTCAATCTCTAATTCACATGTCTCAAATCTAATAGGATTCCAATATCAAGTTGGGCTATGAGTGAGAATCCTTTGGGCTTATTATTTTATTGGCTACAATGAATTAATAATTGGCCCGGTCCATGAACTCAATTCAATTAATTCATAAATTAATTTCTACTCCACTAAAAGAAATTAATTGAACTCCAATAAAATAATAAATAACCTCTAAGTCAATGTTGCACTTTGACCCCTCTATGCATAATTAGTTATCGAATAAATAAAGCCATCAATCTGACTACTTAATTAATATATTTATTTTATGCTATTGATTATCTCTGGTTCGATCACAATAAAATATTTGTTTGACAAAAATAATAATTTAAATAAATAAATATATAATAAATTACTTTGTCTAAAAACACACGAAAGCCTTCGAATTTACTTTGTAATCAACCATAATCAATACAAAATAAATATAAGTAACAATGATGCAAATATTGAAAATATAATTCTCTAACTATTAATTACATAACTACTCAAAGTGTCGGTTTAAGGATCCCGAAGTATCCGCCGAACAAATCAAAGTAATTATTAATTAATAAAAGAGTTTATATTTTTCTCATACTTAAGATTCAAATGCCATGACAATGATAGGGAGCAATTGCATACGACGGCTCTCGCAATATATCTCAACCTAATGCGGATCCAGTTGAAGTCTTAATTAATTATGAGTCCATCCATAATTACCGACTATGAACAATTTATGATTACTATTTATATTCATGTATTGATCGTCATCACATACATATATAAATATCTCTTGTAATCAAATGGACACTATCAATTCTATAATGAATCGAAACATAATACATTGAATTCACCAATTGTATAAAGCATAAATATTTCAGAAACGTCAGGAACATATGTCACTATAATCCAAATAAGAATTTGCTATGTCAGGGCATATAAATCCCAACAGCTCCCACTTGCCCTCATAGCCAATTCAAATTGCATCTAACTCCAATGTTATCCAGGTGTTGATCAAAACTATTAATCGATAATACCTTTGTTAATGAATCAACAAAGTTGTGTTCCAACGCAATGTTATAGTCACGAGTACATTTTCTTGCCGGACAATATCATGTAGGACATGATACTTTCCTCTCAGTGTACCTTGTTCCTCTATGGAATCTTGGGACATTGGTTTGGACTACTTCTACACTATTGTCGCAATATAGCTCGATAGGCAGGCTAGTATGCTCCACAACCTCTACATCAGTGAGATCAAACCAAAAGGCTTCCCTTGCTGCCTTTTAAGGCTGCAATGTACTCCACCTTCAGGTTTGAGTCAGCAGTTGAAATCTGCTTAACAATCTGACCGGTCCTCTTTTACAAGGGTCGCGATACCAAGTCAAGCTTGAAAGTTGTGTGAGAATTTAGGAGGTGGCCAAGTTTTACATTTATAGAAAGCCACTACTACCTTTCTCTATATAAAATATAGATAGGGCGAGTAGGGATCGTCCCAAGGGATTTGATGGTGTATCGAATTGTGAAACTATGGTAATTAGGGTTAGTAGGTCGAGTGATCACACAATTGGTTGGTTGGTTGGTTGATTAAACTAAATTGAATTCAACTAAATAAAATAATATGAGGTAAACAAGAGAGAGAGAGGTCTTGGGGTGTAGAGATCACCACCAAG